GGGGACACGAGTGGCTCCTCCTGCCTGGGAAGCCGGGAACTCCAGCGGGGATGGGGAAATGGGGGAGAAGGGGAGAGGGGGAATGGGGGAAAGGAAGAAAGGAGGAAAGAGGAAAGGCAGAAAGGAGGAAAGGGGAAAGGAGGGAAGGAGGAAAAGAGTAAGAGTAAAGGAGGAAAGGGGGAAAGGAGGAAAGAGGAAAAAGGAAAGGAGGAAAGGAGGAAAGGAGAAAGGAGGAAAAGAGGAAAGGAGGGAAGGAGTGAAGGAGGAAAGGAGGAAAGGGGGAAAGGAGGGAAGGAGGAAAGGAGGAAAAGAGGAAAGGAGGGAAGGGAGAATGGAGGAAAGGAGGGAAGAAATGAAGAAGGAAAGGAGAAAGGAGAAAAGGGGAAAGGAGGAAAAGAGGAAAGGAGGGAAGGAGGGAAGGAAGGAAGGAGGAAAGGAGGAAAGGAGGAAAAGAGGAAAGGAGGGAAGGAGGGAAGGAAGGAGGGAAGGAGAACCCGGTCCCCTCTGTCCCCAGGCAGGATCGGGGGAGTGTTGGGGTCACCGGGGGCTGTGGAGGGGGGCACAAAGCCGGGGTGTCCCAGGAAAGGCGCTGGTGGCAGCTCAGCCGTGTCCCCCACGGCTCTCCCGGGGACTTTGCAGGGGACAGGGATCCAACTGAGCAGAGCCATCATCTCCACCTTCATCTCCACTTTCATCTGCAGCTTCAATTCTCTTCCCATCATTTCTTTTGCCTCTGTATTTGTGTCTGAGTCTCCATCTCCATCCGTAGTCTCCATCCGTCTCCATCTCCATCTTTGTCTCCATCTTTGTATCCTTTCTTTTCCTCTCCATTCATCTCTGCCTCCATCTCCACCTTTATCTCCATCCCCATTCCCAATCTCATTTCCCATCTTCATCCCCATTTCCATCTGATCTTTATCCCCATCCCCAAATCCATCCCCATCTCCATTCACATCCCCACATCCATCCTGTCGCCCTCCCCATCCCACATCCATCCCCACCCCATCCCCTTTCCCAAATCCATCCCCATCCCCAAATCCAATCCCTGTCTCCATCCCCATCCCCATTCCCAAATCCCTCCCGTCCCCATCCCGGTGTCTCTGGGCTGTTCCAGAGGGTTCCGGGAGTGTCCCGTGCCGGCCCCGGCCGTGGTTTGGGGCAGAGCTGCTCCTCCCGGGGCTCTCCACGGTCCCATCCCGATCCCACCGGAGATCTCCGGGAGGTTTTTCCCTCTGGGGCTGCTCCAGGGAGGGAGCGCTGAGCCTCTCCCACCCCGGGAGCGCGGCTGGAGCTGGGACAGCGCGTCCCTGTCACCGTCCCGGGCTGGCACCGGGAGCGGGAGCGGGAACGGGAACGGGAATGGGAACGGGAACGGGAACGGGAACGGGAACGGGAACGGGAACGGGAACGGGAACGGGAACGGGAACGGGAACGGGAACGGGAACGGGAACGGGAACGGGAACGGGAACGGGAACGGGAACGGGAACGGGAACGGGAACGGGAACGGGAACGGGAACGGGAACGGGAACGGGAACGGGAACGGGAACGGGAACGGGAACGGGAACGGGAACGGGAACGGGAACGGGAACGGGAACGGGAACGGGAACGGGAACGGGAACGGGAACGGGAACGGGAACGGGAACGGGAACGGGAACGGGAACGGGAACGGGAACGGGAACGGGAACGGGAACGGGAACGGGAACGGGAACGGGAACGGGAACGGGAACGGGAACGGGAACGGGAACGGGAACGGGAACGGGAACGGGAACGGGAACGGGAACGGGAACGGGAACGGGAACGGGAACGGGAACGGGAACGGGAACGGGAACGGGAACGGGAACGGGACCGTAAGCGGGAACGGGACCGGGAGCAGGAGCGGGAACGGGAACGGGAGCGGGAACAGGAACGGGAGCGGGAACTGGAACGGGAAGGGGAATGGGAATGGGAATGGGAACGGGAACGGGAACGGGAGCGGGAGCGGGAGCGGGAGCAGGAAAGGGAATGGGCCGGGATTGGGGTCCTGGGCTGGGAGGGGACATGGGAAAGATGAGGGGACCCTGCAGGGACAGGGGGGAGGAGCTGGGAGCAAGGAGGGGACCAGAGGGACAGCAGCACGGCTCGGGAACGGGACACGGGAATGGGGACAGGAACGGGGAAACACGGGAATGGGACACGGGAATGGGACACGGGAATGGGACACGGGAATGGGACACGGGAATGGGACACGGGAATGGGACACGGGAAAGGGACACGGGAATGGGGACAGGGACAGGGAGGGACACGGGAATGGGACATGGGAAGGAGACACGGGAATGGGGACAGGGACAGGGAGGGACACGGGAATGGGACACGGGAATGGGGACAGGAACGGGGAGACACGGGAATGGGGACAGGGAATGGGGACAGGAACATGGAGGAACACAGGAATGGGGACATGGAGACACGGGAATGGGGACAGGGACATGGAGGGGACACGGGAACAGGGACAGGGTGGAACAGGGATGTGGAGGGGACACAGGACCGGGAAAACAGAGAAGGTGGAACAGGGACACGGAGGGGCCGAGGGACAGGGACTGGGAGGGAAACAGGAATGGGAACATGGAAAGAAATGGGAATGGGAACATGGAGGGAAACAGGAATGGGGACATGGAAAGAAACAGGAATGGGAACATGGAGGGAAACAGGAATGGGGACATGGAGGGAAACAGGAATGGGGACATGGAAAGAAACAGGAATGGGGACATGGAAAGAAACAGGAATGGGGACATGGAGGGAAACAGGAATGGGGACAGGGAAAGAAACAGGAATGGGGACATGGAGGGAAACAGGAATGGGGACTGGGAGGGAAACAGGAATGGGAGCAGGGTCACAGAGGGAGCTGAAGAGACACAGAGGGAGGAGAACAGGGAATTATCCCAGGAGATTCCTGCAGCAAGGTAAAGCTGCCAAAGCACGGCAGCTCATTCCTGGGATTTTATCTGGAATTGTGTTTGCATTCCCGGAGAGGCGCTGGTGGGAGCAGGAGCGGCAGAGCCCCCATCCCACAGGGAACAGCAGCCAGGGGCTCAAAGGAACCTGGACACGGGACAGGCTGGGATCAGGGATCCACTGGGATCAGGGATCTGCTGGGATCAGGGACAGGATCGGATCAGGACACACTGGGATCAGGGATCTGCTGGGATCAGGGACAGGATGGGATCAGGGACAGGATGGGATCAGGACATGCTGGGATCAGGGATCCGCTGGGATCAGGGTCAGGATCTGATCAGGACACACTGGGATCAGGGATCTGCTGGGATCAGGGACAGGATCGGATCAGGGACAGGATGGGATCAGGGACAGGATGGGATCAGGGATAGGCTGGGATCAGGGACAGGATCGGATCAGGGACGGGATCAGATCAGGGACACTCTGGGATCAGGGATCCACTGGGATCAGGGACAGGATGGGATCAGGTACAGGATGGGATCAGGGACAGGATTGGATCAAGGACAGGATGGGATCAGGGATCTGCTGGGATCAGGGATCTGCTGGGATCAGGGATCTGCTGGGATCAGGGACACGCTGGGATCAGGACACACTCAGTCCCAGGCCATGTTGGGATCAGGACACACTGGGATCAGGGACAGGATGGGATCAGGGACAGGATCGGATCAAGGACAGGATGGGATCAGGGATCCGCTGGGATCAGGGACAGGATCGGATCAGGGACGGGATCGGATCAGGGACACTCTGGGATCAGGGATCTGCTGGGATCAGGGATCTGCTGGGATCAGAGACAGGATGGGATCAGGGACATGCTGGGATCAGGCACACGTTGGGATCAGGGATCCGCTGGGATCAGGGATCCGCTGGGATCAGGGACACACTGGGATCAGGACTCCCCCTGTCCCAGGACACGCTCCGAGCTCTCCCAGCTGCGCACAGGGACGGGTTCCGGGATCCCCGGATTTGGGAATTCCCATCCCTGTCCAGAGGAGGCCTCGCTGTCACCCCCGGGCAGCTCCCGCTGTTCCCTCCGCTCATCCCAGAGCCAGCTCCGGGCTCCCGGGAGCTCAGCGGGATGAGGTGATTGAATCCCAGGGATTTCAGCATTCCCAGCATTTCCAGGGAATTCCCATCCCTGGAGAGCCCCAGGCCGGGCTGGAGCCCGGGGCTTGGGGCACTCGGGACAGTGGAGGTGTCCCTGCCCTGGCTGGGGGGCTCTGGGGGGCTCTGGGGGGGGCTCTGGGGTCCCTTCCCACCCAAACCCATCCCGGGATTCCCTCATTTCCCTCCTCCCGGCACGCCCGAGGCTGTTTGGGACCACTCGGGGCTCTGTCCCCGCTCCTCACTGAGCCCCTGGGAATTGCCGCTGTGCTCCGCTGCGGAAAGCTCCGCTGGAAGCTCCAATCCATCCCGGCTGACTCAGCCGAGCAAGGAACGGAGTTTATCCCCTCCCTCCCTCCCACCATCCCAGTCTCCTCTCCATCAAAATGAAGATTAGTAACGGATTCAGGCTAAAAGAGGCAATTCGGGGGTTTGGGGGATTCGTCCCGGTGGGATGCAGGTGCCAGGCGGGACACGGCGAGGATGGCCCGGGAATTCCATGGGGTTGGGATAATCCAGCTGCCCTGGCGGGGTTTGGGCAGAGATTTCCTGCCACAAATCAGGGGGCAAATGTTAAAAACGGGGAGAAACGCGAGAAATGAATAAATGAGCATCAAAAAGGCGGAGATGAGGGGAAAGCGGGAGAGGAGGGGGAGCGGCGGGGGGTTGTGGGGGGCAGGGAGAGAGGGGGAAGGGGAATCCTGGTGGATCGGGAGGCTCTGGCACAGGCAGGGCAGTGAAATCCTGGAGCGGGACCCCCGGGACCCCCGGGACCCCCGGGAAAGGGGCGGGGGCTGCCCCGGGACACAGAGAACGCGGGTGGGGAAACGTGGGAAAATCCGCAGGGATCAGGGGAAATGAGCCGTGATGTCCCGGGGATGGTCCCGAGGGGACCGGGGGGAATCGATCCCTCCCCAGGTGTGCCCCGATCCCTCCAGGTGTGCTCTGATCCCCCCAGGTGTGCCCCGATCCCTCCAGGTGTGCCCCGATCCCTCCCCAGGTGTGCCCCGATCCCTCCCCAGGTGTGCCCCGATCCCTTCAGGTGTGCCCCGATCCCTCCCCAGGTGTGCCCCGATCCCTCCCCAGGTGTGAGATCCCCGGGGTTCCGGCCGGGCACGGGGGGGACCGGGGGTGTCACGGGGGTCCCCCGCTCAGTGCCGGGGGACCCTCACTGCTGACCCCACTGGGGGATCCCCGATCCCACGGGAATGTCCTGAGGGATCCCCGATCCCCCGGGACCGTGCTGGGTTGGGGCCGGGGTCCCGGGGGTCCCCTCTGGGTGCTCCGGTGACAAAAGGGGCGTGTCTCGGGCAGGCCCCGCCCCCAGGGGCCGGAAGGGGGCGTGTCCCGGCGTGTCCCCGCCCCCGGCGCGGCGCGAGGCCACGTGTGCGCGCGGGCGGCCTTTGCCGACGTGTCCCTGGCGCCGCGCGCCCCGGAAGTCCCGCCCCCTCCCGCGCGCCGGGCTGGGCGGTGCCGCGGCGCCCGTGACGTCACCGGCCGCGCGCCGCTATTGGCCGAGGCGCGGGGGGGCGGAGCGGCGCGCGCGGCGGGAGCGGCCTCCCGTTGGCCGCCGGCCGCGCGGGGGGCGGGGCCGCGCGGAGGCCACGCCCCTCCCACCGCCCCGGCCCCGCCCCGCGGTCCCTTCCGCGCTCGCCCCGGGCCCCGCTGCGCTCCCGCCGCCCGCGCCCGGCCCGACCCGGCCCCTCCGCCCGCCCGGCCCCGCCATGGCCTCCGCGGCCAACCCCGGCCAGGCCGGCTCCGCGCCGCCGCCCGTCGTCCAGCGCGGCATCGTCAAGATGGTAAGGGCTGTGCCCGCCGCTCCTCTCACCGACCCCGCGGCTCGCCGCTCACCGGGGACCCCCGGCTCCCGCTGGCTGCTCCGGGACCCCGCTCCGCTCCCCTGCCTCGCTTCCCGGTAGCCGGGTAGCCCGTCCGTTCCCCGCGGTGCCCGGGTGTCCCGGCTCCGCTGCAGCCCCTCCGGTGCTCCCGGTTCCCTTCCCGCGGCCGTTGCGGAGCCGTTACCGCCCGCAGCCCGCGGGCCCCGCGCGGCTCCCCCCGCCGGGACCGTCCCGGTAACGGGTTCGGCTCCCCCCGCTGTCCCGGTACCGGGCTCGGCTCCCCCCGCTGTCCCGGTACCGGGCTGGGGCAGGACGGGCTCGGTGTCCCGGGCGGGGCCGGCGGTCCCGGAGCCCCGAGCAGCGGCGGGGCCATCCCGGGGGTGCCGCACGTGCTTCCCCTTCCCGGGACATCCCCGCGGGCCGGACGGGATCCCCGAGCCCCGGCTCGGGTCCGCGCGGACAGAGCGCGGGGATGGGGACCCCCGGCCCCTCCGGTGTCGCGGCGAAGGGTCCCCCGGTCCCCCCGGTCCCCCCGGTCCGGTCCCCACGTGCGCCGGCAGCGGGGCCCGGGAGGGCGAAGGTCGGGTTCAGTCCGTCCCCCGTGTCCCGGTGCCGTGTCCCGCCCCAGCCCGGTCCCTGCCGTGTCCCCGGAGCCTGTGGGGTTCCTGTCACCGGATCCGGGGGGATCCGGGGGGGATCCGGGGGTCTCGGCTGCCCCCGGAGCCAGCCCTTGTCCCGGCTGTCACCGGGCTGGGGACACGGGGGACGGACCCTGCGTGTCTGGGATGGCAGCGCGGGGATGTCGGGATGGATCCCACGGATTTGGGGTGCGGGAAAGGACCCCGGGAACCTGCCCGGG